TTTTTTTTTTTTTTTTTTTTTTGCATACACCTCCTGAAAAAAAAAAACATTCAACATGATTTTCAGTTTTGATAGTGACTTAGTAGCTGAACTGTAGTAGTGTTAACCTGTGTCTAGTGCAAGCCTTTCCTGGGATGGAACAGGAGGTGGCAAGGCTCACAAACCCTCCGCACTCAGCCTCTCCTGTTCTTGCTGCTGCTGGTCTGACAGGGCATCTCTTACCTGTACTGTTCTGTTAGCTTTGTAGAGCTGAAACCAGCCTTGAAACAGCAGGTATGAAGTAGAAAGATCAGAGGTTCTAATATCTTAATATTTTTTGCCTTTTTTTTCATAATATTTTTATAGTATGTTTCCGTAACAGCTTTTCTGTGCAGATTGAAATTACCATTTATGAAGACAGAGGTATGACCAGTGGAAGATAAAACTGTGGACTCTCAGGTACGTGTTAACCTTACACTAGATCAATCTTAACCTTTTTCTGTGCTCAGAGGGGTAGTTTCTGTCACACTGAGACAAAATATTTATCCCACTGCTCTATGTAGTCAAAGGCTGTTCGCATAAATCTTGTGTGGACTGGCTTTTCTGAATAAGTAGAAATATCAATACTTGGCATTATATCACTGAATGTATTAACATTTCAAAAATGAAGAAAAGCTTGTATCATGAGTTCTGGATAGTTTGATGAATTGCCAATATTTATGGTCAAGAAACACCTGTTGTGGAAGCAGGATGAGTGCCCCAGTAAGCCTGATCTGGAAGTGGAGCTTTTTTTAGGGATTCATTAACTCGTCACTTGGAGCCTGCCCGCTGCTCTGGAGGATGGAATGCAGCTCCACAGAACGCAGACTTTCTGTCCTGTGGAGTGGTAGAGGATCGGACTCTGGCTGGGGATAAGTGACGCGTCTTAGGACTTCTAATGGTCCCTGCAACATCTGTGTAAATTCAGAGGAGCTCCAACATCAGCTTTGAGACCTTATCTATCCCAGTAGTGCTAGCTGGAAAAATCTGTGCATGACCCTTTCCCTGAGTGGATTCCAGCATGCAAAAACTTTTTATTGCAGTTTTTCAGCTGGATTCTGCTCCAGTTCTCACTGCGGTGTCTTTACTCGTGATGCTGTCAGTTAAAATTACTGTCCCTGGGTTTCCAAAATAGCTGCTGAGCCTTCATAAAGCTTTGATTTTGAAAAGCTCAGATTTGAACTGGCTCCCTTGTCTAAGGCACTCTGCAGAGGGGGATGGTAGTCAGAAGTGGAGGTTGTTGGCAATATGTGCAGAAGAGAAATTGGAATTCTTTATGTCTGTTATGCAGAAAGAAACAAGTGAATGTCTTTATTTCCTGTTAGACAGAAGAAATTCAGTATTGGCTTCTGTTCCTGCTGCTCACTGCAGCATGTGGTAACCCTGCCTTTCCCGCTACGTTCCTCCTAAGATAACAAAATACAGCTAGGTCAAGGTTTGTGTGGGGTATTGTTGGTTTTATTTAGTAATAGTTTCTAATGTGAAATTCCTTTTCTAGCAGACAGCTCCAGAGTGGACTCGCTGTATTGAAGTTCCCCTACCTCCTACTTTAGAGCATCATTCCTTTCTCTGCTGCCGGATCCACAGTGCCATCTACTAAAAGGACTAACTTCCTAAAACTGCTCCACGTGGGGTGACCTTGCTGGTCAGCATCCATTTTGTGGCAAACTTTGTAGGGTTTTTTTTTTCTCAAGAAAAAGCAGTAATGGTAAAGCTACGTACTTTTCTGAAAGAATCGGGGCGCTTAGCCCAGCAGAAGTCTAGTTTTAGTCCCGTAAGCGCAGTGCTGTTCCTCCCTAGTCCGTGAGCCCTCTGTCCATCAGTCGGGCTTTGGAAGCTACAAGTCAGAGTTGGGAATTTTCCAGAAACGAGGCCTTTGCTCCCATTCCGTATTGGAGTGAGGGGAGATGTGGAGCCTCTGCATGGCCAGGAAGGACTTAAGGCAACGAGCATTTTACACTCCCTGTGCTGATTCTTGTGGAAAAACGGAAGGCAAAGTGTTATTTGTTTTAATGTCTGGTTGTTCCTAGAAGGGGGAGGAATAGCCAGACTTTATTACTGGTGTTTTTTCTACTGCTGTATCTGTGCTGTTGTTGCATCTGTCAATGCTCGCCAGGAGAGGGGGTCAATTCGTGGAAGTACAATAAAATGGATGCTGAATCCATAAACGTAACAATTCCTGCCCTGCTCTGATTAATATGTGAAGTGTAAAACTGTTTCTTTATGGGTTTGTTACATATAATTTATAGGAAAACCTTGATTTGACAAGCTGTTAGATGTTGTATAAGACGGTTTCTCAGTTCTGTCTGCTGGCGCACTCTCGGGGCGTAGAACTGTGCGTTATTTCCTGTCCCCCACGCACCCACCTTCCCCAGCAACACCCACAACAGTGAAGTTCCTACAAACCCAGCTGGCTTAGCATTTTCTCTAGTATCCTTCTCCCTTGTCCCTACACGAGGATGTCCTGGGCTAGGTTGTAATTGTCCAATTGTAGAAGGAATTTGAGAATTTAGAAAAGGAGAAGATATTGCAGAGCAGATGGAGTTTTGGCTTCGGTGGTGCTGCAGGTGCTAATTCTGGAGCTGAAATTCCAGGCTTATTACTCAGCCACTGATTCTTTTTTTTTTTTATTTGTTTAATATTTTAATTGTATAAAACTTGTTTTTTCTAAACTGTAACAGTGTTTGCCTTTCACATCTGTTGCAATATTGGCGGAAGTACTAATGGATTAGTAAATTTTTTCCTAAACCATGTCTGTGTCGTATTTGATAGCACTGCTTTGCATGAAGTAGCACGAGGGTGAGATTTTGACTCCTACAGCAGCAGGGTCACGCTTGTGAGCAGCCAGTGTCACCTCAGGATCAGTTGATGCAATTCGGTTTATTTTTGGTAAAGCTCACCTTTATAGTCTGTACTTAAAAAGGCATTTGATGGAAAATATAAAAAGCACATCTGTAACGCTGGTGGCTTTGTGACCTGCTCCTCCCTTGCTTCCTTTCCACTCACAACCAAAGACCCGAGCTCTGTGGAGTAGCAGTTAATGAGCAGACTAATTAGCGGTGCTCGGCCTTTTTTCTCTGTCATGGTGACAGTAAACCCGCGTGGTCAAAGACAGAGGTGGTTTCTAAGCCGCAGCCCTTTTGCCGCTTGTGACACAGCGTTGTTTTCCAACCGCCTTTCTGCTGCCTGTCCCGCTTGCCCGCGCCGCCATCTTGGCTCCGCGGGCGGGGGCGCGTGCGCAGTGGGAGCGGAGAGTGGCGCGTGCGCAGCGGGGCGGGTGGCGCGTGCGCGGCGGCGGTGGCGGGAGGCGGCGGAAGATGGCGGCAGCCGGCGGTGAGGGGATGGAGGCGGACTCGGACGGCGGCAGCGAGGAACTGGTGCTTACCCCGGCGCAGCTCATCCGCAGCCTGGAGCAGGTGGTGTGGGCTGGGGAGAGCGGCTGGGGGCCGGGACCTGGGCTCCCTGGGGAGGTCTGGCGGTGACCGAGAGCTGGGCCCGGGGCTCGCCGGGGGAGCTGGGGCGACCGGGCCCCGGGCCCCGTCGGGGGAGCTGGGGCGACCGGGCCCCGCCGAGGGAGCTGGGGAGGGCTGAGTGTCCGGCTTCTCTGGGGGCTGGGGCGTACAGCGGGTGCATTCCTCGCATCTACCTGCAGCGTGTCTCCTTCCAGGCGTGGCTGAATGAGAAGTTTGCTCCAGAGCTGCTGGAGAGCAAACCCGAGATCATCGAGTGTGTGGTGGAGCAGCTGGATCACATGGTGGGTTCTGGGGGTGGTGCAGGCAGGCCCTGCTTACCTGGTCTCGCACATAGATGCTTGGGGATCGTCTGCACCTCTGTCTTTGGGATGAGCTGTTCTGAGTACCACCTTTGAGCTTGTCTTGGAGAGGGGACTGGGAGAAACAAACAGTGTGCTTTGTGTCACCAAAAGCAGCTGCAATCTGTTCTTGTGGGCTTTATGTACAAAACCCATCTTCCTCTCTTTTTCTTGCTTGACATTTCAACGGGTTAACTTCTCTTTGCCTTTCTTTGCAGGAGGCAAACCTGAAACGGGCAAAGAGAGGAGACTTGAAGGTCAGCGTTCACCGCATGGAGATTGAAAGGATCCGTTATGTGCTCAGCAGCTACCTGCGATGTAGGCTGGCGAAGGTAATACTTGCTGTACTGCCCGGGGGAGGAAAAAGGGTAACTTGAGGAGTGACTTTTACCTATATACTGCCTCCTGCTTCAGCAAGGCACTTAATTAAAGCAGGCTTTCTCTCTGTGTCCTCCAAAGAGCAACCCAAAGGAATTAACTCCTTGGACACACTTTTCTTTTGTGATAAAGGAGGATCACAGTGTTGCTGAGTGTTTTCTGAGCCCAGAGTGGCACAATTGATTGCTTGCACGTTCTGTCTGGGTCCTGCCATGTCCATGTGTACCTGTGCAGCTTGGAGACCCCAGCTGGCCATACGGCTGTGAATTCAGGAGCCAGTATTTGGGCAGGCCTGTGACAGTGACCGCTGCTTGCTGGGGAAGCCTCTGGGGAGGGGGGATTGTAGGCACTGAAGTACTGGGAGAGAGGTCTCTTACAGCCCTGGGGGTTCTGTTCCAATACCAGATAGAGAAGTTTTTCCCCCACATCCTGGAGAAGGAGAAGTCTCGAGCCGAAGGGGAGCCTTCCATTCTGTCACCAGAGGAGTTTGCTTTTGCTAAAGAGTGAGTACATTTTGGATGCATCTCCCTCCCTTTATATAAGTTACAGAACTCGCCTGTGTGTTGTGCTGAACAGTTCTTGAGACTGGTAGCCTTAGACAGGTTTGCAGGAGGAATCATGGGTTTTAGCGGGAGGTTTCCTTACAGATAAGGAAAGACCTGAAGTAAAATAACTCTGGTAACTCTGAACCAGTTACCAGGGCAAGCCATTAGGCTCGTCTCTGGCCATGCCTGTGCAACCAGGAGATGTTGCTTGGTTTGAGTCAGTGCTCTACCTACAGATTTGTATTTTATTAAATCAGTAAATGCTCCAGTGATTTGTTTCAGGTACATGGCAAACACAGAGACTTATCTGAAAAACGTGGCCCTGAAACACATGCCGCCCAACCTGCAGAAAGTGTCTCTCCAAAAATCAGGTGAGTACATCCAGGGTAACCTGAACCATACAGCAGCAGGGGTGTGGGGAAAGCTCTGAGGAACCTGCAGTGTTCAAGGCTAGTTCTCCAGCTGGCACGCAGCAGAAGCAAAGATGACGTGGTGACAGTGTCATGGCACTGCTCTGCTGTGTGGTACGCGGCGTGATGCCGCTGTCAGGACCGTGCCAGCCCCTGTCGTGAGTCTTGTCTTCCCTCGAGGCAGTGCACACGACATCTGATCAGAAGTGTTTGGCGTTCCCTTTACTGGCCATGAGTTTGCTGTCCCTCACACCCTTCCATTTGCTCAGTCCTGCAGAGGGACATAAGTGAGTGCTGAGCTTGTGCTCTGAATCCCTTCTCTGCAGTTCCCAAGCCCAACCTGGACTCCTTTGTGTTCCTGCGGGTGTTGGAGCGGCAGGAGAACATCCTGGTCGAGCCAGAGACGGATGAGCAGAGGTGGGTGGGCGCCTCCCTGTGCGGTGCACGTAAAGAAGTTTGTTTCACAAAAGCGATGTGGGTTCTGGCGAAACAGGAGCAGCAGCGTAACATCTGGCCCATCTCTGCAGGGAGTACACCATCGACCTGGAGGAGGGCTCGCAGCACCTCATCCGCTACAGGACCATCGCCCCGCTGGTGGCCTCGGGAGCCGTGCAGCTCATCTGAGGCACGAGCGGTAAGTGAGGGGCCAGGGCTGCGGTGTCACTGGTGGCCACCCACGGCGTGTCCCACCGTACTGGCGGGCTGAGACGGCAGGTGGCGCTGGGGCAGCGCAGCAGAGGTGGCGTGGGGCTGGCCATGTCCCCTCTGGAGGTGACGTGGGGCTGGCCATGTCCCCTCTGGAGGTGGCATGTCTGGACAGGGCAGCAGAGCTGTTGGAAGGGGTACCCTTGAAAGCATACAAATAAACCAGCAGGACGTCTTTCCCTCGTTGCCCCCACTGCTCATCAAACTCCTAACTGATTATGACATGCCTGGAATACAGCCGGACTCCTTTGGCTGGTGCCCCTGAGCAGGGGCAGTCTGTGTCACCGCACTCCCTACAGCGAGGCTCTGCAGCAGCCGTGTCACAGTCCCCTTGGAGTCCGAGGGAGGGACGAGGGTGGCTACTGCCTCTCCAGTTCCCAGGCTGGTTTGACAGCAGGTGTGGGCAGAGCACGTCTGTCCTCAAAGGCATTGTAAATAGCAGGGTGCTCTCTTTTTGAACCTGCCCCTGTGTGTTCATTCCTGTTCCAGTTTAGCACTGTTCTTTAAATTACCAGCTGGAACCTGACTGACCCAATGCTGTGGCGACCAGCTGTGTAAACTCCACCTTCCCCATCAGCTTTGATCTCGTGACAGGGTCTGTGCAACCCTGGATGTTGTGCAAGTTGCCAATTGCTCTGAGGTGAACCGGGGGAATACCTCAGCACCGTCTCTGCCCCATGGTCCATTGAGCAAAAAACCACCACACATCAAGATGTTTGCTGGCAGGGCAAATCTGTGTTCGTGCAGAAGGAGCAGGAGGGATTTGGAACACTTTAAGGATGGAAACTGCAGCTCAGAGCAGAGGGAATGTCACGAGAAAGCCACAGGGTCCTGTGCAGGGTGCTTAGCACTAGCTCGTTACCTGCAGTGGGCAGGGAGGGTGAAGAGCTTATCAAGTTTGTTCCTTTGTCTTTCTGACGATATCAGCTAGGAGGTGGCCATGAGCTTAGGAATTCAGGGTTTCTACTGGCCTTGAGTTTCTCCCTTGAAGTGTTGTTATGTGGGTCAGACAGCCAGTCCATCTGTCCTTGGGAAGGCACGGGCTTTGTTCTGTCCCAGTGTGGATACAGCTCTGTCGGCACAGCCCTTTCTCATATGGCCAGAGAGGAGCTGTGCTGCTTTTTCCTGGCACTGTGGCAATAGTAGCACTATCCTTGTAAAGCATCCGCCCTTGCAGGTTTGCCTGCGGAGCAGGCCTGGATTTGGAATTGCTACCTGGCCCTTGTGCTGATAATGGCATTTCTTGCCCTGGGCCAAGGAGTGAGTGCCTCCAGGAGCCATGGGCAGCTGTGTTCTTTCTGATCAGGTTGTGAATGGTGCAATCACCATCAAAGCTTTGGAAATGTCAGACAGCATTTGCAGGTTTGTCACAAACCTCTTTTTAACCAGAGCAACTGGTTCATGCTGAGGGTGTTTGTGGCAGAGCCATGGGGTCTTCATGCTGCCCATGTAAAATTTGTGTTCAAATCTGCTGTTCTGCTGCATGCGTGAATGAAGCCCCCACCAGAGCAGATCCTGCAGAGAGGGTTTAAGTGCTGCAATTTCACCTCCTGAAATTCTACATGTGGATCAAGCAAGGAGGGGTGAGAGACCTTGCTCTTTTCCAGCCTTTTCTGACCTGCTGCTTTGGACTGGCTGACTCCAGGGACATTGCACCACAGTCACAGCTAATCCTCAAGGCTGCCGTGGTCAGTGAACTGCAGAGCAGGTTGGGCCCTTGGTACAGGGTGGTCTGTGTGATCAGCAGCTGAACACTGAGGAAGAGCCCTGAGGAATTCTGTGAGATTGTAGGGGCTTGTGGTGCCTTCGTGTTGTTTAGAAAGATACTGGAACGTGAGGCTGGCGGAGCTTTCCCAGAATGGTCTCTTGCTGCAGGATGAGAATAGGAGTCTTGTCTTTGCCTGGGTTTCTACTTGTGTTTTATTCATGCTGCTTCCTATCAGGCCAGTGTTCTGTATCTGATTTCTGCAGCAGAGCATTCCCTGTGCAGGGAGACTTGGATCAATAGAACAAATGCAAAGTGACGAGTCAGAGGGCATTTTCTGGAAGCCTTCACTGGGTAGCTGCTGGGATGCCTTATTTAAGACCGATGGTGGCCAGTTTCACTAAAATGGAACACCTGCAATCATGAGCTCAGGAGAGAGCTGCTTTCTGCAGTGTGTGATCTGAAGACTGTCCCTCCACAGAGTGAGGGGTTCTGGTACAGCTTCTGATGAAAGTTGTAAGGGTAGAAACTGTTAAACTCCCTTCTGCTGAAACAGCTGCTGGGGAAAGAGGGACAAGCAGTTTCTTTGCTGGTCACGCAGAGGGAAAGCTCCAGTCCTGTTGACCTGTGTGTGCTTCTTCTGGTTGGAGAAGCCAGAGTGTCCCGTGCTCCCTCAGCTCAGTGCTGTCAGGAACATGGACAGACGGTAGCTCATGTTCCTTCAGGGCAGGGTCTTCCCTGCATGGAGCTTGGTGAGGGGCAGCCTGGTGCCCCCTGATACCCCCCTCCTCTGCCCCGTGGGGGGTGACACAGTGCATCTTGTAGTGTGAGTGGCTTTGCATGTGTGGTTTATAGGGTTCTTAATGAATCCATTTAGGTAAAGAAGATTCTTTTAAGTATAGATGTTAAGAGGAGGCTGGGTTTAATCCTTAGGAATCAGTAGTGCATACCCATACCAGAGCTGTGGATTGTGCTTGCCCGTGTCTCCAGCCCAGGCAGCTTCCCAGAGGTGACTGAAGCTCCAGCCAAAGTCGTGGTTAATCCGCTGTGCAGAAGCGTGCTACAGAAAAGCTGCTTGGAGGATGTCTAGGTGGCACGTCTGGCAGACTTTCTCCTTGGCCCTATTAAGTTTGACTGAATGATTGTCCAAGCGGCTGTTTCCTCACCGCTGCACCTCACGTGGCTGCAGCAATGTGAGCATACGGGGCACCCATCCTCTTCCAGCAGCTGAATCCTAATGGGGTCTGGTTCTTCCCGGGGTGCCTTCAGTCCAGCTCCTGCTGGAGCCTGATGACTGGCGCACGGCACCGTCACCATGGGCTGTGCAGGACTTCTGGAGGTGGCTGGTAGGCTGAAATCGGCCAGGCTAGCAGTGAGATTCAGTTCAGGCATACCTGAAAATGCTGCTGTCTGCTTTTTGTGTCCTTCCATGACAAAATACTGGGACAGTTCTGGGACTGGATACAGCCTCACTGCTCACTCTGTGCTTCTGTCCTATGCTAGGGGATGAGGAAGTGTCCACAGATCTGTCAGGGAAGCAATGCTTTTGGCTTGTACTTTCAGATGGAGGAGAAAACCCAGCAATCCATCCACGTTAACCTCTGCCTCTGGAAGAGAATGTGCAGAGTGGGAGCAGCTTTTCCAGCTTCTATGAGGTCTCCTGTAAGGCTTGAGCTCAAAAATGCGTCCCCTGTTCTCTGCTCCCTCCAAGGTGTGGGTAGCTTGGGTTTACTGAGTGATTAGCTCTGAACGTAAAGTAGGTGGATGGTGAGAAAGGTCGCAAGGAGGGCACCGACGGTGAGCTGTGATCCCAGCCTGAGCCGGATCCGCTCTCCCGAGCGCAGGAGAAAGGTGGGGTGAGCAATCTCATTGCCAGGAAGCCTCTCGCGTCTGTGCTGACTCCCCACGTCACTGAAGTGGGGGGGAAAAGCAGTGTCAGCCTGAGAGGGTGTGATGAAAAGATGGTTCTTGGGAAGCAGCTGCTGAAAACTGACTCATGGCAAGTGCTCAGAGGTTCGGACGCAGACAGTGTGCGAGACCGTGAGCAAGAGCCCTCAGCTCAGGCAAAAGGAGGGCAGTTTGACTGGTGTGACCTCGGGAGATGTCATGTGGGTTTGTCTTTGGGCGGTCATGGTTGGAGCTGGCAGGGGTGCGCACACTGCGGCGGATCCTCCAGCTGCAGGGAAGGATGTGGCCTCAGGAACGGAGCGCTGCCTCCAGCTGGGGCCTGAGCCTGGGCACCGCCAGGGCTGGGGCTGGGGGCTTCTGCCGCAGCGTGTCGGCCGCGTGCTGACAGCAGAAGCTCGGGCCTGGCCCCAGCAGACAAATCTGCTCCAGTGCTGGCCAGGCTGAGGGGCTGGTAGCCAGGAGTGCTGGCCACCAGCAGACACCTCTGGCTCCTGCAGGCCCGACCAGGCGAGTGCATCTGGCTCCTGGTCACCCACAAAGATCAGTGTCCTCCTCCCCAGGCAGGAGTGTTGGGCCAGCAGTGACACGAGTGTCACACGCCCTTCTAGGGGAGACAGCATGGCTTTGACTCTTTAGCTGCTTTTTCTGATGTTTTTGCTGAGTGAGGGCAGGGCTGAATGCAGATTTTTAGCCAGCCAGGGTCCGGGTTCAAGCTCACTTCTCCTGGCCACCCTGCGAGAGGTGTCCTGTGCTGGAGACGCTGGGGGACAGTGACAGTGGAAAGCTGTGCATGAATACCCATAGGTTGTGTCATGGGCTGATGAAAATCTGTGCTGTCAGCAGGAACCTTCAGGGCTACTTAACGTAAATGGCTAGACAGCTCGGCAGAGATTAGTGGGCAGTACAGGGCAGGGGTGATCTGATTGAGGTGACAGTCTCTTCTGTCAAGGAGTCACATGTGAGCTAAACAGTGAAGGTGATTTTGAATATAGGTGTCGGGGACAGCGCAGGGCCTCTTGCCCGCTCAGGCGTCACTGAATTTCTTCTTCAGGGCAAGCAACCAGGGTAAGAAACTTGGGAGTTAGGCTTACTTTGGATCGAGGATGGGTCTGGGATGTCCTTTGTGCTTAGACTCCCTGGAAATCGCTGTCTTTGGACAGGCACCACAGAAGGGATGTGTGAAACCAGCTCAGATCCTCCCACCGCTGAGGACAACGTGGGAGGAACACGCTCCTCTCCCCTCTGTAGTCCCCTCCGCGCGCTGACAGAGCAGCAAACCTCCGTTTTCCACAAGCACTCCCGACTTTCTGGCATTAGAAGCGTTTTCCGTGCAGCTCCTCCGGTTGGCCCACCCCGGACCGGGAGCGGGTCTCTGTGCGGGCTCGGTCCCTGCCCCGCTGCGGGGGCTCCTCCGCCCCGGGCTCGCCCGTCCTCCTCCGCGGGGCTCCTGGGCGGAGCCAGGCGGCCCGGCGCCCCTATTGGCCGCTGCGGGGCGTGTCTCCGGCGCTGATTGGCTGCCGCCGCGGGGTGTCCCGGCGGCGGCGCTGCCGCGGCTCCATTGATCGCGCGGAGCCGGCGGAGCGCGCGGGCGGCGATGAGCGGCGGCGAGTGAGCGCGGGGCGGGGGCGGGCGGAGGGGCCGGGGCCCGGGGCCCGGGACTCGCCGCCTGAGCCGCCTCTTCGCCCCTAGGCTCTTGCAGGTGTTCGTTCGGCGCGCGGGCCGTCGCCCCCCCCAGCCATGCCCGTGGACCTGGCCGTGCGGCTCTGCCTGAGCCACTCGCCCCCCATCCGCAAGCTGCTCAACTCCTATGAGGAGCTGCGGGGCAACCGGGGGTGCAAGCCCCTCCGATCCTGTCTCAACCAGAAGCTGAGTGCAGAACCCGAGCCTGAGTGGCGAGACAGCACCAAGAGCTCCAAGGGCCAGAAGAAGAAGAGGGTCGTGTTTGCTGACATGAAGGGGCTGTCGCTGACGGCTGTCCGCTTCTTCTCAAAGATCGAGGAGGACCTCTGTGACTTGCAGCATGCCCTGTCTGACCTTGCCTGCTTCCGACCTAAGCTGCGGGACTCGCGCCCAGAGGTGTGCAGGTATGTGCTGGACTTCCCACAGCCCTCTGCGGACTACAAGAGTTTCCGCAGCCGCCTACACAGCAGCCTTGTCTGCCTGGAGAACTGCCTGATCCAGGACCGTGCCCTGTCAGGGACAGTGAAGGTCAGAAACATCGAGTACGAGAAGAAAGTGATGGTCCGCATCACCTTCGATGGCTGGAAGAGCTTCCGGGACATCCCCTGCCAGTACATGCACAGCACATACGGCTCGGCTGACACAGACACCTTCTCTTTTGAGCTGGCCCTGCCCAAGCCGTCCATCTCCCGCAGGGCCACGGAGTTCTGCATCTCCTTCCAGTGTGGACAGAAGACCCACTGGGACAACAACCACGGGAAGAACTACAAGATCTGCCACGTGGGCATGATCCGCCCGCCCTCCCACGCCGTGAAGAGTGCCAACAGGGCCTGGGAGCATCTTGGCACCTCCCGGGCAGCCGCCCTGGTCCTTTCTCACCTGCAGACCTGGCGCCGCTCAGAGACCCAGGCTCCGTATTGGTAGGAGAGCAGCGTGTGGAGAGGTGCAGGTCCCTTCCGCCCCCCGACCCTGCCCCGAGGGTCTCTGCGGAGGGGTCGGCTGCGCAAGATGCCGCTCACGGTTTTGTTGGCTCCTCTGTCGGTCTGGCCGGCTGCCGTTCGAGCGGCTGCCAGTCCCCACGGGAGCTGCTTCCCCGCTGACTCCTGCCGCAGAGACGGGAGCTGCTGCGCGGAGCCACCCCGGCCCGCGGGCTCTCCGGAGCGGGGCAAGCGACAAAGGACACGGCCGCGGCCGCTCCCGGCGGGAGCCAGCCCTGTCACACGGCGGGTGCTGCCCAAGTGCCTTGTGCGGAGCTGCCCGGGGGAGGGGGGGGGGGCGCGCTGCCCGGGCGGCGGCGTGGAGCCTGGTGCCGGGGGTGTCGGGCGGGAGCGGCTCCGGCGGTCGGTGCTGTATCGGGGAGTTTACAATAAAGTGACGGCGTTCGGTGAGTCCCGCCTCTCTGCGCCGGGCCCGCGGCGGCGGCGGGGGACGCCCCCTACTGGCGACGGGGGGGAAGGGAGGGGGAGCGG